CTTGCAACCAGATGCCATCACTGTCACATAATCAAGGGTGAAACTAACCTGAAATGCAGGATATGCGGAAAATGTGATGAAGCCGTTGACCATGTTATCTTAGTTTCTTTTTTTATTTTACAAAAATTTTCTATGTAAAATATCATGAAGCGATTTCTGACCTTACGTCGCTGGTTGGGACCCGGAAGTAAATGTGTATACAACAGAAATTAAAGAAAATAATAATAATAATAATGGTAGCCTATGCCTTAAAAAAATACAAAAATACAGCTCACACCTTACGAAGGGCTTTCTCTGTTTAAAGTGTTTGATCTTATGTTTTAAAACGTTCTGTGGAAAATGTCATGAAGCCATTTCTGACCTTAGGTCTCTGGTTGGGACTCGGAAGGAAATGTGTATACAACAGAAATCAAAGGAATTAATAATAATAATAATAATAATAATAATAATACCAACTAATGAGGATGCACCACCTGAAATCAGATGTTGATAGGCTGTACGTACCAAGAGCTTTAGGACGCCGAGTTCTAATCCTACTTGAACTAACTCTAAAAGCTACAAAAGCTAGAATTGGAAGTATACCTAAAAAAAAACAATGATCCTATACTACAAATAGTAAAACACCAAATCCGCTCCATCAGCAAAGAAGCTGCACTCTTAAAAAACAGCTTAATATACCTGAAATCCAGTCAATAAAAACGAAGCGAATACGATCTATGCCAAACGACTAAAACAAAAAGTAAAACAACATGGCAGATACCTAAAAAGAACGAACGTAACAAATATCTAACAACAACAAAAACAAAAAAAAACTGCCAGTGGGTAAGGAGCACCGGGTTAAAAACTGAGACAGAAGTTCTAATTATTGCAGCTCACGACCAAAGACCCATAAACAGATTCTATCACTGTCACATAATCAAGGATGGAACTAACCCGAAGTGCAGGATCTGCGGAAAATATGACGAAGCTATCGACCATATTAACTCGGGATATCCTGAACTAGCAAAAAATAAATATACCCACAGACATAACAAGGTAGCGACATATGTGCACTGGAAGATATGCAAGAAGCACAAAATCAAATCCACTGAGAGATGGCATGAGCACAAACCAGACACAGTTACCAAAAAATAACGATGTAACTATCCTCTGGGACATGTCAATTCACACTGACAAGGAAATAAAAGCCAACAGACCTGATATCATAAAAGACAAGAAATTCAGGAAGTGTATGCTTATTGACATAGCAGTACCAGCTGAGAGAAACACCTCCATGAAAATTATCGAGAAATTGTCCAAATAAAAGAAACTGGAGGTCGAGTTTAACAGGATGTGGGGGAATGAAGACTCAGACTGTACCAATAGCAGTAGGAGCACTGGAACTCGTGAGAAAAGGAATGGACAATCTTACTAACAGTGTCCCAGGTCACTTCAACATACACGTTGCCCAGAAGATTGTCGTACTAGGAACATCCTATATACTAAGAAAAGTGCTATCAATTAAATAACAATTCTCTTATAGGGCCTAAGGACCATAGTTTGGACCCGGATCTACAGGATACAAAGCAGGAAACATAACATAAAAAATAATAATAATAATAATAATAATAATAATAATAATAATTAATAAGTATCCCATGTAATAACAAAAATACAAGTTGCCCAAGAAGAAATTTTTAATAACTACTACAACTACTAATAAAAACTACTACTACTACTACTACTAATAATAATAATAATAATAAGAAGAAGAAGAAGAAGAAGAAGAATTTATTAAGTATCCCAGGTAACATCAATATACAAGTTACCTAGAAGATCGCCCTCCTAGGAGCAATTCTCTTATAGAGCCGAGGGATCATGGTTTGGAACAGGCTCTATAAGATACAAAACAGGAAACATAATATACAAATATAATAATAATAATGATAATAATGATTAGGTTGCAGAACTAGAATCATTAAGATGACTTACGAACCGAAATGTTATGAACCTTTGTACTTGCAGAGAATGGCAACAGGAATACCTCCCACATAATGGTAAATGAAGACACGATTGCCACTGATAACTTACCATTATTTGGCATGTATTTCTGCCACACCCTCTACTATTCGAACAATTGTTCTCATCTTGGTTGATATAGATGTTATTATCGACACAACGTTTCGACCAATACCCTCTGGTCATCGTCAGGTTTCCATCGATTGGCTTCGTCTGTTGATTACAGTGATATTTTATTCTCGTATTATCAGTTATTGTTCATTCTTGCTGAATCTGTGTTTCATGCTTGATGAATGACCAGAGGGTACTTAGTCGAAACGTTATGTCTGTTTCAAAATCGATATCAAGCAAGATGAATAGAATAGTTCGAAATCTTTTATTTATTTTTTTTTTGTTTTATTCGGTCGCGCTAGCTGAAGCATTTATGAGCATATTGTGTCAAACATTACGGTACTGAAGTCAAGATCGTAAGGCCATTAGGGTGGCGTTCTGTCAATGTATAGAGTGTTCCAATAACTTGGACCGATTTTAAATGTGAATTAAATTTATGCGTCTAATGATTTTAAATTTTTTCTTTCAGATTTAACAACTTAATTTCTTTGGGCAATTTCAACCATGGAAAGATTAACAAAAAAACAAATTTATTGAAAAAATCGAAAATTATTACGAAAATGGATTTATTGAATGAGAAGTTCCCAGGTAGCATCATCTCTCGAAACAGCGTGTCAGTTGGCCACCATGATCGTACGACTTGACGCCTTTAGATTTCCTCCTTTGGTTTCATCTCAAAAATAAAGTCTATGTCAATAAGCCAACAGCAATTCAACAGCTGAAGAATGAGATATTGATAAGTAATATTTAAAAAAAGAAAAAAAATTATGCAAAGACGTCATCAAAAAATTTGACCATCAAACGGAGGTAAAATTTCGAAACCCTTGGCGGACATTTGGGCGATATTATTTTGAGCTTTTTGACATCGACCTTATTTTTGATGATCCCAAAGGAGGAAATATTAAAGGCGTCATTAAAAAAACGATCGCCATAAACAGTTTTCGAGATGATTTTTGGGGACTTCTCAAAATCTAAGATGTTCCTAGTTCATGGGGATCCCAACTTAAAGATGGCATCTCCCCATTGAAAGAAAGAAAGAAAGAAAGAAAGAAAAAAAAATTTTTTTTCTTCCAAAGTAATTCATGGGCGAATACTATATAAAATAAAAAAAAAAAGGAGCGATTAAGAAGAAAGAAAGAAAAGGAGAATACGGATGAGATCGATAGAAAGAAAGGAAAAGACCGATTAAGAAAGAAAGAAAGAATTAAAAAAAAAAAGAAAAAAAAATTAAAAAATAAAATGGCCATAAAATCTACATGGGATAAAAAAGAAAATCCAGAATATGTTTTTTGGTCATATCAAAATAAAGAAAAAGGAGACCATTTCTACATTGAATTAAAAGAGAAGCACGGCTCATAGACTTTGAGGCAAACGTTGGAGTTTTTGAATATTCTTTAAAAAAAACCTCATGTGGCTTTGTGAAATTACATTAAATCAAGATTTTGGGTCACATTTGCTCTTTTTATTTTTAAAATTTTTTCCTGTCATTTAGTATTTCTTCTTTCATAATGATATTTGAAATTTATTTTCATTTTTTTTTTTTTTCATTTGTCCATCCTTCTTTTCCAATAATTTCGCTTTTTCCTTCCTAGAGAAATCTTCATTTGTCCATCCTTCCTTTCCTATACCCTTCGCATTATTCTACCTTCCTTTTTTCTTCATTTGTCCATCCTTCCTTTCCTATTTTTCGAAATTTTCCTTCCTTCAGGAATTTTTCTTCATTTGTCCATCCTTCCTTTCCTATACCCTTCGCATTTTCCTTCCTTCCTTCTTTTCTTCATTTGTCCATCCTTCCTTTCCTATACCCTTCGCTTTTTCCTTCCTTCCTTCTTTTCTTCATTTGTCCATCCTTCCTTTCCTATACCCTTCGCTTTTTCCTTCCTTCCTTTAAATTCATTTGTCCCTCCTTCCTTTCCTATTTTTCCCTTTTTCCTTCCTTCCTAAATGGGCATTATTGTGATGGAGCGTATATTTTTGTCTTTTAGTCAGAAACCCCTAGAAGTGGTTTACCTACTTCACGCCGCTGGCGAGTATTCTATTTCGTTGGTCTTCTATAGATTACCATTTGATTCCGAACCTTTGTTTTGGTTTATTCCTCATTCAGTAACCCTTCCTAGGTTACAACGCATTTCCTCCTTCCTTTACTTCCTTCATTCTTTCTTTCCTATCTTTTTTTTCTTTTTCTTTCATTTTTCTTCTTTCCTATTACCATGGAATCTATAACAAAAACTTTTCTCTCTCTCTATCCTCCCCTTCTTTTCCAAATATACTTCAAATCCCCTCCTCCTCCTCTTCATCCTTCTCCTCATCCACTTCCTCTTCCTCCTCTTCCTTCTCCTCAACATCCATTTCCTCAACCTCTACTTCCTCCTACATCTAATTCACTTTTTACTCCCCCCCACCACTAAGGTCAGCCATGTCAAATACCTTCTAGATAATGTTTAAATTAGCGAAAATAAAAGTTTCCTATATTTGGTTCACAGATTAATCTTTAATCGGATAAATCAAAGATTGTGTCAACATGACAGCGAAAATGTCAATAAAATCCACCGGAGATCAGCGTTCGAAGATGAAAAAATTAATTTTCAAAATTCACTCCATCTTGATTTCATTTCACTCATCGTGATGGCGAGTCATGTAAACACAAACTTTTTTTTTTTTACTTTTTTGAAAAAAAAGTTCTTTAATAAAAATTAATAAAATACATTTAAGTTTGTTTTCTCAAGTTGTGTACACGATTTGGTTTAAGATAGAATTTCACCTTTTCAGTGTATCTTTACTGTTCATTTTTTGGGTGCCGCCCAGTTTCGCGCCGATATTCTTTGTCACAACATGGACTGTTGAATATGCAGTTCTTAGTCATATTTTTTTACAGCGGATTTTTTTTTTTTTTGATATGAACGCTTTTGAAACTTATATATTCACTGGATGTTTCTTTTGATCCATGGTAGATGGCTATGGCCATTTTTTCTTTCTTTTTTTCTCTTTTTCTTTCTTTCTTTCTTTCTTTCTTTCTTAATCGTTGTTTTCTTTTCTTTCTATCACTCACATTCTTACTCTCCTTTCATTATTTCATTTTCTTAATCACTTTTTTTCTTTATTATTTTCTTTTATTTTCTTTTCCTTTTCATTCTTTCTTAATTTTCTTTATTTATTTTTTTCTTTTTATTTTTTTCTTTTTTACTCTCTTTTTTTCTTTTTTTTTTTTCTTTTTTTTTTATTTTTTTTCTTTCTTTCTTTCTTTTTTTTTTTTTTTTCTTTCTTTTTGTTTTTTTTTTTCTTTCTTTTTTCTTTTTTTCTTCCTTTTCTTTCTTTTTTCTTTTTCTTTCTTTCTTTCTTTCTTTCTTCCTTTTCTTTTCTTTTTTCTTTCTTTCTTTCTTTCAAATCTATTTTCCTTTGTTTCTTACCTTCCTTTCTTTTACTTCCTTTCTTTCTTTCTTTTTCTCCTTTCCTTCCTTTCTTTTTTTTCCTTTTTTTTTTTTTTTTTTTTCTTCTTTCTTTTTTTTCCTTTCTTTCTTTCTTTTTTTTTCTTTCTCCTTTCTTTCTTTCTTTTTCTTTTTTTCTCTTTCTTTCTTTCTTCCTTTTCTTTCTTTCCTTTTCTTTCTTTCTTTCTTAATCGCTTTTTTCCTTTCTTTCTACCACCCTCATACTTACTCTCTTTTCTTTCTTTCTTTCTTTCTTTTTCTTTCTTTCTTTTAATTGCAATTTTACTCTCCTTTTCTTTCTTTCTTTCTTTCTTTCTTTCTTTCTTTCTTTCTTTCTTTATCGCTGTTTTCCTTTCTTTCTATCACTCTTATTCTTACTCCCCTTTCTTTCTTTCTTTCTTTCCTTCTTTCTTCCTTCCTTTCTTTTAATTGCAATTTTTCCTTTCTTTCTATGCCTGTCATCCTTACTCTCCTTTTCTTTCTTTCCTTCTTTCTTTGCTTTCTACGCTTGTTCTTCTATTCTGGTTGTATGGTAACATTATATTTACAAAAATGTTACCTCTTTGAAATTTACTCTTTCAATTTAACATGTCTTCCTTCTTCAGGTTGGAATGACGAACTTTGATGCTTTTGCTTGCTCTTCAAATCTTTAATGAATTGTACGGATGACCGGAATCATAATTTACGTAACTTTCTATGAATGTTAGCTTTTCGAGTATGGATGGCCGGAAGCCATATTCTGTGCGGTTTAAGTACGCCCCCAAAGGCTGATACAACGTTTCTTTTTTTTTTTCTTCATTTTTTTCTGTTAAACTGTAATCACTGCTTTATTGAGTTCTCGTGATCCAACAGTATTTTAATAATATCCCTGTGAGTTCAAAGTATGAAGGTTTCTTTTACAGAGAGACTTACATATAGTTACATTTTACTTTAGATCACCCAATGGAATGTAGAGGTTTACTAAATGAGTTTTTTGTAACTGAGGGAAAAAGAAACGCATAATATGATGGTGTGTAGGATAGGTATTAGCAGATCCTGACTCAACCAAAGAGGTTAAGATTGTAGCGGTCAGGAAGGGCTCGTCTGCGTGGTGTAATGGTTAGAAAGCTTGTCTCGCTAAAACAGTTACGATTGAATAGTGAGTTCGATCCTCACTGGGTGCCCCATACTTTCGGCCTTGTGCCACATCTAAGCTACGCTTAGAAACTCATTAGCTTACGTTGAAATCAAAATGAAAACGCAGGTTCTCGTTCGATCACGGCAGATAACCATCGTATAGCCAGGTCAGTACTTAGATGAGGGACCGCTTGGGAACAGACCCCCCTACGACTGGGATAAACTTTCATTTTAGTCACCTCGGCGTTGTGTAATGGTTAACAAGCTTGTCTTACTAGAACAATTACGACTGAGTAGTGAGTTCGATCCACACTAGGTACCCCATACGTTCGGTCTTGAGCCACATCTAAGCTATGCTTAGAAAATCATTTGTTGTGGTCAGGAATCTCAACAAAGTAACAGTTCTGGGAAAGTTGTCTGGGTGGGACTCGCTCCTTACTAAAAGAACACGAAGTGGTTTGGGATGAATTGCCAACGTGAAGATGACAAGGTGGCAGGTCCTAGCTGTGAAGGTCTGAACTAGCGGGAATAAGGAATGTATTTCATTCTTTTACCATAGTAATGGCGATAAATTAGTGATAGGCTATTCTGAACTCTGTCAATGCTGAACAGGGTGTACGAACCCAAATATGGCAGCAAACGCCATTCTTAGTCGTATCTGACCAACGTAAAGATAGAACAGCAGGAATTTGGTGCTTTCTCGAGAGCTACAAGGGGCCTGATATTCTAGTATCTTTTACGATGGTATGGTAGCAGGGTGGATCGCACTTTCTTGCCTTGGATGGCAACCAATCTAAAAGAAGGAAACTCTACAGACTGTGAAGAATTTAGCGAGAAACTAACTCATTAT